CAGCAATTATTTGCCTGTAAATGAGTTTCCCTAAATCATATTTGGAAGTATTCCCTGCTGAAGTACAAAGGCATGCATCATATTCTCTTCCCCTATTATTTTGCTCCATAAATTCCTTTTTCACAAACTGAACAATGCTTGTGTTTTATTTTTTTAATACTATCATCATTATGAATTAGCCAGGCCCAAATTAATGAGATTTTTTCCCATGACTCCTCAGGATATGTTTGCAAAAAACCTTTAATACCACATGAAATCCTTCTCTCGGTCCCCCAGCGCTGTCTTGAACAAAATTGTTCAGTCACATCAAATCTTATCATTTCTGACTTTGTTTTCCTAAATTCATCCTCCAATGACTGGTATGATCTTTAAGTAAAAAAGGAGTAGTTCAAAGAGAAGAAAGAAGCAGTGGTCATACCCTCCAGTAGCTGAATGGTTTCACCCTCCTTTCTGGCTTTCTAGGACTCAGCACTACCCCAAGAGTGTTCTTTTGTGGGATGGTGTGTGACAACCCCAGAGATACTTGCTATTAATCAGTACCAATCAGATATGAGGCATGAAAGGTCTTGTTTTTCATCCCTTTTAAACATAGGATCAAAAATATACATATGGCATCATTCTCTCTAGCATCAAGGGTCTTATCACCAGGGAAGAAGAGACAAGAGTCCTGGGGGAAGGAGAAATAGAGCAAAAAGCAAATTTTTATCTTCCAAATAAACATGCAAAATGAATAATTCTGTGCTTAATTTGGGCCACAAACATGTGTAGCAATGAGGACACTGTCACAAACCTAGGCAGTGGCAGAACTTTGTGACCTGATGTGATCAGCAGCCCATTTTGACAATTTCTGACTTTAAAAAAAAAATGAGGAATTTTCTGTTAGGTCTTATGGTTGGATAACTATTAGTCTTGTAACCTACAAGAAATATAACTAAGCAACAGCCTTCAATCTTATGACCATCCTAATAACCCTTAACTGCTCCTTTGTTTCCTCCGTCTCTGTCTCCACCCTTCCTTCATTCCTTTATATTTTTTCCTTTCTTTATTTCATTTTCATTTTTAAAGGAATTTTTAAATGGCAAAACAAGGAGAATCTACTGTTTTCTCATGAGCCTTTTCCTTTTGGAAAGCTTAAACCAAATCCTTAGTTTTTTACAATCAATTAATCTAAGGTGTTTGCTAATAGAGTAAGAGTGACAGTTGTAGTCATATGTTAGTGCATAGAAATAATATCGAATTCAGAGTAGTTGTTGCCATTAGGGAGAAAGGAAGGAGAATGATATCGGAGGGAGACATACAGGAGACACAATTGAATATGTTGTGACCCTACTCTGTAATCAGAAACAGTAAGATGTAAAAATATGATAAAGCTAGACAGAGGATTTCTATTATTCTCGATAGCTTTTCAAGTGTAACATATATGATTGTCATTTGCCAAAAGTATTCCAGAAAATAAGAAAATCAAATTCACCTCTCACTCAAGAGCTTCTCTGTCATTCAGTCTCACTGCTATCCTCCTGATCTACTTCCCTCTTGCATCTCAAGTGTGTCCATAAAATTTAATCCTGAAAAGCACTTGAAATTATCTTTTAATTAGGATAAATTAGTTATTGGTGTAAGCACATCTTTATAAATAAAAGAGGTCTTTACAGGATGCTTGATTTTCACAGATCAGAAGACGGAGGACAAATGAAGAGATCTAACATTACATTTAGTAGTTAGTAAATGCTTATAAATATATACCTCTGTAAGTCAGAGATAAGGAATAGGACAGGTTGACAGTACTTCTTAAGGATTTTGTAATGTAGGAAGGGATATAACACAGGTTCCACCAACTTTTGTGACTTTTCATAGAGCTTAAGGAGGGCTGCCAGTTTGAACTTCACTCAAGACTGAATTACACAACATTAAAAACTAATGACATAGATATTGTCAACTCCATTCTTATGAATTTGTTTTATAGATAGACTTTCATGTGTGAAATGATTTTGCAGAAGCTTTTATTGTTACAGGAAAAGTACTGAGACTAAAATATCTATCCATATGAGTCTGGTTGAGTAAGTCAGAGTACGTTCATGTGGTGGATTACTATGCATTCAGTAGAATGCAACATCCTAGATAATATAAAATAAACAAAACTCCATGATGCATTGTGGAGTAAACTAAAGTAAATCATCCAACAAATAATGCTAACAGTAAAAAAGCCAAAATGAAAAATAGAATTATAGCATTCTACAATTTGTGTGAGGAAATTTGTGTGTGTGTGTGTGTGTGTGTGTAAAATATTTCTATATGGTGTGAAAAAGAATTTGAAGTAGGATGGAAGAAACTGGGTAGTTAGAGAGCAAAAGGAACTCTGTACCATTTTAAGGTGTTTTATATTTTATTCTTTGAACATGGGATTACCTTGTAATAAAATAAAATTACACAAAAATACAAGGACATCAAAATAAATTGAAAATTATATAAGAAACAGGAAAAATGAGCCTGGAGGGGGAAAGAATTGGAAAATAAAGACAGACATAAAAAAAAGAAAAAAAGAAAAAGAAAGACAAGATTCTTTCTCTTTGTTTCCTTTTTCTCTTTGTAGAATTTCTAGTGTTAGAAGATGAAAACTGCATTTTTATAAAAGCAGTGGACAGGTAGAAGGTTGGGAGGGCATAAGAGAAGTTAAAACAATAGGTTCATAGTTTCTTGATGAGTTCTGGCTGTCTAGACTGTGTGAGTTTGCCCAGAGTGAGAATCTCCTTCTGTGGAGAAATTAGCATTCTTCCGATACCTTCTCCCAAAACATTTTTGAGCTCTTTGAGGGCAGCACTAGGTTCACAGATTCACAGGATCATTGAGAAATCTGGCTAATAGCAAGTGAGTTTGTATACATCTGTTCTGAATTGAAAGACTAACTGATTAGGGTGGGGACCTTAGTGAACACAATACTATAAGAAGGAATAAAGTTGCCTTTCAATGGGACAATTTATTGTATTTTCCCATTACTACTATCTGGAGTCAGCAAACATGTGAAAAATGATATTTTAAACAATAAGTATCATGACAATTGCTAAGTAGGGTTCCAGTAGACTCTGCTTTAAAACATAAATAAGAATCATTTCTAGTTAGCAGAGCTATTATTTATATGCAAAATGTTCTGCTTAAGTGGCTTTATGTACAGGAAAATAACTCACTGTTTTTACCCATGTTGTGTTTACTTTGTGTATTTATTTTAATAATCCCTTTTTTATTGCAATGATAACTTAAGCCAAGTCAACTTCTGAAAATACATTACAATACAGCATCTTGAATATAAAAGTTAGTGAAGATTTATTGTATTTATTTTCCCTTTAGGGAAGCTATGGAAAAAAAAGTATTTTAGTTTTTGTAGTATATCTCCAGAAAATTATTGCCAACTCCCATTCTCATAACTGACCATGAGGTATACATTCACTTATCTATATATTGGTATATACAACTGTCTACAATCTGACTATTGAGGATATGCTCAATATATTACAAAACATATAATTTCTGATTACTGGAGTTCTATCCTGTGTTAAAGCTCATATGTCATCATGTATTATTTTTCTTCTCATTGCCCTGAATTTCAGTTGTACTGAATTGAAGTATGAGCATGAAAGTCTACAGGTGAGAGGGTTTGCCATGAGCAATGGAGAGCACTTTTTTTTCCCCTGAAATCTGCTCTGGAACTTTCTCTTTTCCTGTAGTATATCCTCTGAAATTTCAAAATACAAATATTAACAGTTAAAAGCTCACTGAAGATTGAGATTATTACTTAACAAAGCATAGGTCACCGTTTGTTCAATTGTGCATCTGGAAATGGCCTTTGGGAATGAGATACTCACTGGTGTTTCAACATGAAAGTGTTTATGTTTCCACGAGCTTAATGTCGGCACCAGTTTGAGTTCTGGTGATTTCTCATTAGTCTTATTTGTCCAGTGTGTGGACAATGTTCTATTTCTTACCAGAAGGGCTAAATAGTGTTAACAAGAATTACAGAGAGTACAATTTGGCCTCTGGTCCAAACTTGGGCACACACATTTTATAATCTAGGATTTCTGAGATCCATTAGTCCAGTTCATTTTTGTTGCAGTAAAAAAAAAATACTCAAAGCTGGATACTTTAGTAATTAAAGGGGTATATTTGGTTCATGATTCTGGTGGTCAGAAGATCCAAATAGCATGGCACCAGTGTCCTAGTGAGGGCTTCCTGGTAGCATCCCAACATAGTGGTTGACATCATGGCAAGTACATATTCAAGATAGAGAGCAAATGGTAAAGCAAGAAGCCAGAGAGACTCAGGGGCTTGGATGGCCTTTCTTATAATTCAATCTCATGGGAACTAATGAGCATCCCAGAGAACTACACTAACCCTTTATGAGGGTGATGTCCCCTGTGACCTAATTTCTGTCCATCAGGCCCCACTTGTCAAAGGTATTTTCACTTAAATACCCCACAAAACCATCAAGCCTCCAGCACATGAACCACTGGAGGACATATGCAAACCAAACCCAAACTGTTGTATCCATTTTTGGTTAAGGACTCTTCTTGTGTAGTCATATTTGTTAGCCTTTAAAAACCCATGGTGCTTCTAAATCAATATAACAATCTTAGAATTTCTTATAACATTATTTAAAAATCCAAAACAAATGGAATTTGTATTGTGCCTCAGAACAAATTAAACTCATTATAATATTGAGTATTGTTTTTTAAACCATACCTAGGGCATTTGAAATTTTGATACCTTGGTGAAGGTGGAAAAGGATGATAGTGATGAAAAATTCCTTCCATTGACAGTTTCTGCCTGACATCATCCAGCAGGGTTAGCAGTTTCCACAAGGAAGACTAGGTCCTCTCTAGGGACACAGTGAAGATTTTACTGCTAAAGAATGGAGTTGGATTGGTGGGGTGAGTGCAGAACTGGCCTTTTCTTTCACAGACCAAAATGTCTTTGTTTTTGTTATCTGTTTTTTCTCTCTTCCTCTTTAGAGCATCGTGTGTACTGGCCGACGTCAGTGGCACCCAGACCCCTTCCAGGTCCACTGCATCCAATCATGTGAGGTAAGTCAGCCTCCACTTCCATAAGCTCAGTCCAAGAGCAGAGGCCAGCTTGATTCACTGGTAATCTGTAATACAAGACCGTGTGCCTCTCCTACTCCTCTGACCTTTGTTTAGTTTCTTAAATGCATTTGGTTCCACAATCCCAAATATATAGAGATTAGGATTTCTGACTTTAGTTTTAGAAAAATTTTCAGAGTTTCAAGTGACTCATACTAAAAACAAGTTTAAAACCAAATTTGGGGAGTCTGTAAGCAGGCCTTATTTCAGCTTAGTTAGATAAGGGTTTTGCAGATCAATGGCCCATAAACATCTTTGTTAGACCAGCACAGAATCTAAGAACTATTTTTTTTTTTTGCTAGTGTTTAAAAATTGAGATTTTTTTTTTCTCTACAGTGAAGGGTGTGGATTCAAGTATGATATATTTGATACATTGTAAGAACCTTTGTAAACGCCACAATGTACCCCACCCAGCACAACAATAAAGGAAAACAAAACAAAACAAAACAAAGTTTTTCTCTTATAAAAGAGGATAATCTGGCAATCATGGCCACAATTAACTGGAGCTAAGTAGGATTCACAACTCCAGAGGGCTCCTTGCTGACCAGACTCCTGTGGCCTTCCCTCATTTGCATTAACTGCCTGAGTCACACAAGCTTCTGTTTGCAGTGTCTTAGTCCAATGTAGGGTAACTGATTTTTACTACCTAAAGAAATCCTGTCTACTTTACACAGTGGATGCCATTACCGGCGGGGGGGATTTAGGGTGCTCTGAATTCTTTAGCTAGATTATCTGGAGCTAACCTAACAAAGATAAGTCAAGAATGAGGCATAGCTTAACAGAGGGAGGCTGACCCAGGAATCTTGACCCTAACAAAGGAGTTACACACATACTCCATTTAAGCCCTCTCATTTTAGTAATAACTAGTGGCAAATACAAATATTCTAGTCTCAGTCACAACAGGCTTAAAAAAAAAATCCAAACCTCTCTCTGAAAGTAAATAAACCACTTTGCAGCAATGTCCTGATAGTTCTGACTCCTCCCTGTGTACTAGAGAGAGAGCTATTTCACTGCCATTGATTTCAAACATCCTCCCCACAAACACACCCAACCACATGCATGTTAATCCCTCTATTCTTCTGTATCTCTGTGTATCTTGATCTAATTCTGGGAAACTGAGATTCACATGAAGCCAGAAAGGGGAAAGGGAGGGGTAAGAAAGAAAAGGGAAAACTGGGTGGAGAAATGATACCCATAAAATAATGTTCTGAGAATGCATCAGGAAAACTGCTAGCATGGAGTGTGCTTTGTTATAGTGTGAGCCAACAAAATAGCTCATCTTCTGCCATCATTAGAAAAACAGATGGCAGTGGGATGGGGAGGTGGGAGAGAAGGGGGGAGTGAATCATCCACTGGCCAAGGGGCAGAAGTGGGGAGAGGAGGCCAGAGAAAGAGGGAGATAAACAGACAGAGGACTCAGGGAGCTGGGAAGAGATCAAAGGGATCCTGAGAATTCCCTTCTGCCGCTTCGATGCATGATCACAAGCAACAGCATAGATGACAGGCTTGGAGCTGGCTTCAGTGTTTCCCAGAAGGTTATGATACAGAGCTTTCCCCATTTGCTGTCCACTCTGCCCTGTACCCTAGCACAACCTCTAGATCTCTTATCCAGAGCATCCTAGGCTGCTGTAGTTCCTTAGTCAATGTGACAAGGAGCAAAGTTCCCTTCCACTATTGCCTCTCCTGCCTCACTGCTATCATGTGCAGCTGCTCCTGATAGCTTTTTGTACCCCTCCCTGCCCCCACTACAGTGGTTCTCAAAGTGTGGTCCCTCGACCAGCACCTTCAGCATCACCAGGGAGCTTGTTTGCCATGTACATAACTCAGGCCCCACCCCAGACTAACTGATTCAGAAACTCTGAGCATTGGGCCTAGTAGTCTGTGTTTTTACAACCAAGGGATTCTGAAGGCCACTGAAGTTTGAGAACCACCACCTTAACCACTGAGGGAAGAGACCAGAAGGTTACTACCTGTGCATCCTTATTTTGAAGGTTTCTTTATCCAGAAGTCAATCTAACCAACATTATTTATGTTCTGATTATTCTACACTATTCTGATTATATCAGTGCTCTCCCTAATTCTCTGAGTCAGGCAACTTTTGAAAAAGTAGTTATTGGCTTCTAGTCTCTCTGCAAAGGCTAGGAAGAAGAACCCCACTTAAAGGGAGGAAGGAAGAAGAAGAAAAGGAGAGTCAGGAAAGGAAAGAGAAGTAGGCAGGGGAGAAGGAGGGGAAATAGCTCTGAAGAATTAAACAGTAGAAGTGCAGAGAGGCAGGGTAAGAAAAAGAAAGAAAGAAGAGAGACTGAAGCTGGCGTGTTCTAGGACAAGTTGGCCAATTCTTAGTTCTTTACTGGAAAAAGTCAGCTAAACATATTATGAGAACTGAAGAGTGTCAAAGACAGAGAGGGAAAACAGACCCAGAGGCAAGGGGGCCTGGAAGGTTTAAAAAGTACAGCATAGAAATCTGAATTCAAATGAGACACTTTGTGATCCAGTACCCAGAGGGGATTTCTTTTTTTGCTTTCCAATACTGAATGTAATTCTGAGATGTCCCCTTTAGCTCCTCAGCTTTGCAAGAATGGAGTGCCTCATTCATTATTTCTCTCAGTAAGCCCAAGGCAGTTAAGTCCATCACCTCACTGTCTCCAGCCCATGGCACACTTCTTGCTTCTTTGTGCCCTTGTTTTGTGTCAGCTCTCCTTTGCCACAGTACTCACGCCCTCAAGTTTCCACTATGCTGTGGTCCTCAGATTCTTTAAGAGGCACCTTCAGGGTTTGCTCTAAAAAAAAAAAACCACTTGTCAAAGTAATTTCCTCTTCTGATTGTGACTGTGTTTCCATTGTCTCGGCAAGAACATGTGTGCACTACACATTTGCAATCCAAACTTGTTCATACATTAAAATTCTAACTTTCTCACTTGCTTCTCTAGGCCTTCTTGGTTGAAATACTCCTTATATTTTCCATTTTCTTTCATAAGTTGCAAATGGACAAGGATGGAAACTTGGTTAGTGGAAGAGTTTTAAAATCAAACAAATCCAGACTCAAATCCTGGGTTGGCCAGTGGTGTGAGCCTCAGTGCCTTGATCTGGATTGGGAAGTGGCACAGAAAGCTATTTCAAGGAGTTATGAGGTGGGATCAATGTACGTAATGCATTTAGGGTCATACTTGGCCCATAAAAAATTCTTATAAAGTGGTGTTTTTTGTTGTGAGCTATTAGCTATTCTGTGAATGTGTACTAAATGAGTAAAGCACAAAGTAGGGGGCATTGCTGCTGTTGTGGTCTCAATACAACCAGGTATGAACCTTGAGGATATGAAAAGAGAAAGGTCTCCATTCCTATTCAGAGCCATAATTCACAAATCTCTTGGAGACAGTTGGCTGTCACATCCAATAGTGTGTTACCAGATCATATATGAGTAGCTCCTCTTATTCCTCCTCTTGCTCTTCTAGTTAAGGCCTTAGCACTCTCACATAGGCTATTGTAGTAGTTTTCTAATTGCTCTTCCATCTTTCCCAGACCTGTGCCCAATAATTGCCCTTATTGCTAACACAGGGTTCTTCTTATTGTTTCTCTTTTGCTAAAAAAAATCTCAGAAACTCCCCATTGTTTTCACATTTCACTCAGTAGTGAATTTGTAGGTAGTAAATGGTCCTTTGCTTTCATTCCCATGTCTTTTCAAATCCAAGTATGCACTGTTTACTCCAGACATGAAAAGCCTTTACCATACAGTATTCTAAAAAGAGCTTGGGCTTTGCACTCTGGGTCCATTCATCTGGAATTGGATTTTAGTCCCACTTTCAGGGTGACTCTGAACAAGTTATTTTGCCTTCTTATGCCTTACTATTCTAGCAGAGTTTTAAGAGGGTTTTTGAAACAGTTTTAATAGTAATGCCTATTTCATCAGGTTGTTGCAAAGAAAAATAAGGTACCATAGGTGATAAATTCAGCCTAATGTCTTATACATAAGAGTGCGTAATAACTATTACCTATTTTTATTATCAATCATAGACTTATTAATATTGCCAAATGATATTTTATGCCTTGTATCTTCTAGTCTCATTCTTGACTCCCCCATGTTTCTCTAAACCAGTGATTCTCAACTAGGAAAAATTTTGTACTCCCACCCTTCACCATGAAGACATTTTTAGTTGCCAACAATGGGTTGAGAGAGCTACTAGCATCCAGTGGATAGAGGTTAGGGTTATTGCTGCACATCCCATCCTACCACACAAAGGTCCCACAGCCTAAAATTCTCCTGCTACCAAATATCAATAGTACCACTATCGTGAGACCTTGCACTGAGCTCATTTTTATTGATCCTTCAATATGTTTTCCTGTCATCTCTTTTATTTGGACTTTTAAAGTCTAGCACCAAACCCCAAAACTCCAACCCCAGATGAGCTATATAATTACATTGGTCTCTAGGTTAATGGGAAGTGCTGGTTTTCTGTGTGTCTGCCTCATACACTGTGACTACCTGCAAGTTGAAAACACTGTCTTTTCTATTCTATCTTAGCTACTCAACATAATGTCTGAAGCAGCTGGGGCTAAAGAAATATTTATTGATTGAAAGTATAATTTATCACATTGTTTGTAACATACCATACCAATATTCTGTGATAACTGTATAGAAAAGTTATGGTTCTTTTATCAATTGCTTATCCAAAAAAATGCACTCTTTTTCCCAGCATGAATAGGGAAATAAAGAGGGAGGGAAGGAAGAAGGGAAAGTTTGAAAATGGCTGTCTTTTATTAAAATGAGTGTTCATTCTGTCCATGAATTCTGTGACATCGGGTAATATAAGTACTTTTAAAATAAAGTGACCCTCTCTTTCTTTCTCCATCCCTTTCCTTCCTTCTTTCTTTTTCATCTTCCTTCCATTGTTCTTTTATTCCTTCTTTTTCCTTTCTTTCATAAAGTCTTGCTTATTAGCTCTTCC